CAGTAGTTCTACAAGAAGTTTACATTTTCTTTTTTTTTTTCTATTTCAGTTTCATTCTCCATGCTAAAAAAACAGCCTTTGTGGTAGAACATGATTTTATCATGGCTACATATCTTGCTGATCGTGTGATTGTTTTTGATGGTATTCCTTCCAAGAACACACTTGCGAACAGGTAAGAGACTTGTTTGGATTAGTAATCAAGGTAAAGGAGGACAATGTAGAAATAAACTGTTTATCAGAAGCATCAACAAAAACAAGGAGATGAAGCATCGCTGACTGGAAATTTAAGCTGCATTTAAAGTGATCCAAGAGTGTCTTGAATGTTCTGGCTTGTGTTTTGAAGTGAGAGAAGTGGGATCAACCCACAGTTAGAGGCTGCCTAGACAGAGTTGGGACCTGGCTGGAGGATGTAACCAAGCCTTCTAAAACTAGAGCAGCTCTTGGCTTCAACTAGTCTTAGGCAACTGCACACCAATTAAATTACAATCAGATAAGAACAAATAAGTGGCATCGATTGTAAGGAATGAAGAAAAGGATCAATTGTAAATTATGCTTATGACAAGAACTTTTAGATGTATTAGAAGGAAGCAGTGTACTAAGGGCATGTGCAGGCAAATCTCATGAAGTGCAGGGCTTGACAGTGACATGCCATGGGCCTGATCTGTTTTACTCTCAAAGCTGGCCCTTTTGCTATGTCTGCTTTTGTTCTTGTAAACAATTTCATGTGAATTACAGAGACTTTTTGAGGAGCCGGCTTATTAGAAACGAGGCTTTTAGAACGTGCAGTTACTAGGTACTTAGCACGAGCCAGATAAAGTAAACACACTGGCCTAGCAGTGTGTTCACAACACAGGGCTAGCCTGGTGTTGTTGGTATTCCTTCCAAGAACAGACTTGTCTGAATTAAAAAACCACGATCATATAACCATCCCTCAGCATCAATATACGTGAAGATTATTGTTAGATCTTGCTAATGGTGCAACTGGGGTTTTTTTCTCCTTGGAATTTTAAATGTGGAATTTCCAGCACACACAGGTTTGGATACAATGTAAAAATCATGTGAAGGTAGCAGCTGGAGTCTTGTAGTGCCAGGCTGAGATACTGCTGAAAGATAAGCGCAGTAGTTATGACTCCCTGAGACATGATTTGTTTGAAAATGTAGCAGCACATCCTGGTATGTTGTCTATCGCTTGCATTTCTGTTACCAGACCCCAGTGAGCTCAGGAAGGAGATCGAAGCTGCCTGTAACCTGTTAGTATAGAACTTCTGAGAACTGAGCTGGAATGTTCTTCTCTCTTAACAGTCCACAGACCCTTTTGGCTGGAATGAATAAGTTTTTATCTCAACTTGAAATCACTTTTAGACGAGACCCCAACAATTACAGGCCAAGAATAAACAAACTCAATTCAATCAAGGTAAGAGAGAAGCACCTTTACAGTAAAGAAGCCACAACTGTTTAACAAAGCCGGGTTTCAAAATACGGAACAAAATTAAGACTAACCTCATACTTCTACTCTGTTGGAAAACAGCATGTGGAATGAGTAGTAAGGGGATTAGAAAGGAGTTTAAATAAGTGTATTTTATTTCAGCTATGTCCATGTCTGCCAAAGACTACTTCAGTAACATTAACCCTTTTTCTTTTCTCAAGGATGTAGAACAAAAGAAGAGTGGAAACTACTTCTTCCTGGATGACTAAATTCTGAATCTGAGCATCTTTAACTGGCGCATAGAAATGCCATTTGGAATCTAAATATTTGTGGATGAGAAGGCTCGATTGGGTTTTAGAACACTTAATCTTTTGGAGCTTCAGATCTCTTGCTGCGTGTAACATCTGAGACCAGTAGCAGTGTAAATCCTAGTCTGAGTAAAACTGCCACTTTCTATATTTTGGTGACACAGCCCTATTCTCAGTGTAATATTTTAAAAATAGACCACCTTGAAATTGTGCAAATGAGTTGCCTGATTTTTCAAAACTAAAAAGGAGGTTTTCAATTCAGTATATCCTACTCATGTACCAAGTACTGACTGCACTTCCTCTTAATTTTATAAGTCTTTGAAGCTGTTTCCAGTATAAAAGGGAAGCTTACCAGGAATGTCAAGCTACAGAAGCAATTCCTATTTTAAAAAGGTTGAATCTCTCTGGATGAGGGTTTCATAAATAAATATCCTCCTAACTTACAGCTCTTATGTGACACAGTGCAAAATTTCTTGAATTACTAAATCAAAAGTCTATTTATATGATGTTGTCATGCACACCTTTTCTTACACTACAGTAACATCAAAAAATGGAATACAAACAATATGAAGATAGCTATAGCTTTTTCAGTCATCTGTCCTTGTACATCTTCTCAAACCTAGTTACAGAATAATCAGTTAAAGTTGTAAAGAAAATATTTTAAATCCTTTTAATCTTCTGTAACTTAAATTAACGTAGTGAAAAAAGGTTAATGTCTGTTTTTTCTAAGTCACTCCTCCATGGCTAAGTGCTGGCACCCACCCCCCTTTCAGTGGAAAGATCCAAGGTTAAGATGTGAGAATTGCTTTTGCCTGAAGCAAAAGCTTTGATCCTTACTATAGACAAAAATGAAAGTAAATAAAGTAACTTGTCAAAAAACAATTTCTATACAAAGTACAGTCCTTCAGGGAGACAGAGGGAAAACTGCCTATTTTTAAGGGTTCCTACTTGGGTTATGTGTTGCAGATGTGTAAAAGCTTCTAGCTATGTATCTTAAAAGTAAGGAAAGGTATTCTCTGTGCAACAGTTGTCTGGTCTGCCTTCGATGGCATGTGAAAAATGTTATGAGAGAGAAAAGAATACAGGGCTTTGTTCTTTATTTACATTTTTGCCTTGTAAGTTACAGGAGAAGGCTGTCATTTGTCTTTAAGCCATTCTGTGTGTCAGTAACAGATATTTTCTAACATTGGCAGTGTAGGTGTTAGACATAGTGAGGTACAGTGTGTGTAAGTGCCAACAGCAATCCACCTGTGTTATGCCTGCAGAGGTGTACTCCCTGAAAAGTACAGTTAACAAGTACAGCCTTATACCACCAACACTTTGGGCTCAAGTTCTGTATCCTCTGTTCAGCAGGCCTAATTGGGGTAAGGAAAAGAGGTGGTTTAAGCAAATAGTGGAAGCTCTATCAGTTTATTAGATGCTAAATATTACCTCTAGGGGTATCCTGCAACCTAAACCATCTTGACCCTAGTGAAGGGTTTGGCCAATCAATCTACAAGTCTGTCAGCAAAAATAGAGGAGACCAGCCTGACTTTTTCAAGAGTGGAGTAGCACCTAGTAGAACCTAGAGTAGCAAGGCAGGGCATAGGCTCCACTTAAAACACTTAAAAGTCAATTCTAAGAGCACATGTGGCCCTACCAGTTAGTGCCATGGTGTTGTCTTTCGCTATTTCCCCAAACAGCTTGTCTTTGTTTTTGCACCAAAGCTCACAAATGCCTGCTCAAGTACTGACCCCTGACCAGAGCTGGGCTACAACTGGAGGTAATTTCAGAGTCTCCCAGGAAAGATGACAAGAAGCCATTTATGTCTAGTAGTAAAGGCAGAGAACCACAGTGCTATCTGCTGTTAAATCCCTTAGTGCTTGCTTTGTTCTCAACCTGAAGAATTGAAGCTTGCCTCTGGAAATCCTGAATGCATTTCTGACTGGAAAAGTATTGAGATTAAAACACCACAGCACAGCTTCTGCCACTACAATTTTGAGTAAGAACTAGAAAGCCAGTTTATGTCCCCTTTTAGGCTGCAGCTTGCCCATGTATTAACTGTTAATCGTTCTGCTGCTGTCTACAAGTGGCTCCTAGCAGCACAAACCCCTCCATTTCACATCACTACAATAGTTCCAAAATTTCATAATTTCAAAAGAAAGTGAAAAGACAAAACATTTATTTTAAGTAGGGTTTTATACATGGCATGCATTTGAAAAGAAATTCATTTATCACACAGCTATCACTCAAGTTTCCTGATCAAGGGGGGTACAATCTGGGACATGACTGAAGGGAGTACCATCACCTACACTAGTATATACAGAGATAGAAAAATATACACAACAGTTAATTTTACAGAGCAACAGAGCTGAGTGAATACTGTGCACACTGCACTCTCCCAGTCTGGACAGCTGAACAGCCAAACTGCAAAGGCAACAGGAACGCTGTGGAGATTGTTATCAGGGTCAGAAGAAACAGCATCAGAACTCTGACACAGTGTAAAAATATAAGGCAGAAGCCACTTTCTTCTGAACTGTAGGGAAGAGCAGAGCACACCCAGACTCCCCATCTTGTTTTTAAAAGTAGTTCCAGCAAGGAGTTGTACATGCAAAACATAAATTTGCATCAACAGTGCAACAACAAAATACTGAACAGTAGCTCAATCATACAAACTTAAAAAAACATAACATGCTTCTCCTCACAAAGTATCTAGGATTTGTCAGTGCATTAGTGTTAAAGTGGCATTAAAAAAACTTCTGCTATTACAACAGATGCAGAATTATTTTGGAAATGCATAGCATCTACATTTTTATTGTCTTTGTAATTATATTCAGTTGGCATAGGCACCAGTCCAGTCACACCAGCATTAAGAATTCTTGGTGGAAACAGCCATTCTTACCAATCCATACACGGTTATTCTTGACTGCTTGTCTTGATTTTGATTTCAACAAATAAATGCTTTTTAAAATTCAAAAATATACCCTATGAATATGAAAAGAACTATATACAACATACCTAAGACACAGGGTTAGCTGGCTGCCATATGTGTCACACACTGAAGAGAAACATTCAAGTTTGACAGATTTTTTTTTTTTTTTTTTTTTTTTTTTTTTTTTT